CACACACACACACACACACACACACACACACACACAAACAAACTTCCTGTTTTACTTTGAAGGTATGTGTCATATGTCTTTGTGTCCTCGTTTCGTCAGCTCTGATTTCTCCCTGGATTCAAGTTTCAGTTTGGTTTCATCAGTTTCCCGGTTTAGAGTTTTCTTAGTTCCCTGTGTTTACTATCTCCGCTCCTGATGAATCCTGCACTTCTTGTAAATAAAGCTCGTTCTCATCACAACCTCTGCCTGCACGGGTCCTCACCTCACCTCCACATAGCCTGCCTTGCCAGCCAGGACAATTTATAGATGCATGAACATAAAAATGTCAATGACCAACATGGAGAAATGTTTCATGAAGACATTGTAAACAAGGAGAAATGCGACAAGGCAAAGTGGAGCCTGGCAGAGTTGGAAGACTTTTGTTGAAGACTGGTACACAACTCACCACACAATGACTTGCTGCATATCATTTCTAGGTTGCCTACATTTGAATATAAAATGTATTCAGTAAGCAGGAAAAACTTGAAAAGTGATGGGCAGTGCTACCTGGCAATAAAAAGATAAGACAAGCAAGCTTGCAGCTGTTTCTGCATAAGTAAGACTTAACATCTGCAAAGAGAAAATCAAGATCATGGAAATAAATATAGCTGTCTCAGAAGTAGTAACACAGACATGGATTCCTTCCCTTACATTGGGAGTGTCATTAAAAGTTGGGAGAACAGACAAAGCAAAAGCCTTCTTACAGCTGAAGAACATCTGGAACCAGAGAATACAAGATTACCTCTCTGAACGAGAGGCCAAAGAATTTATGGCAACAAGATGCCTGAAAAGATACCAAGACGTTGAGATACAGATGGCATCAGACGGTTTGTTCTAGCCATTATTTTCTATTGAAGGCACAATTCAAATTTAAAAATGAAACATTTTAAAAATAATGTGTTTGCAGTCATTAGAATCTCTTTAGCTCACAGAAGAAGAATTGTATTGCTCTAAATATTTCTGAGACAGCACTCTTATTCCCTGCATTATAATCAACTTTACTCTAAAACCAATCAGGTGTCTTTATGACCCACCTCCTTCTCCAATGTTGCCCCAGCCGGTGACCCAGCTGTTAACACCGCTGTAGAAGATGCTGT